TATAACAATAATAATTGCTATACTTAAAATCCATTCTCAGTTTGTTAATTTAACTGAAAGACAAAAGACAACATCCATTAAGAAAATTGCTATGTTTTTTTTGTCTTTTTTAAAAGATAGACTTATCTTAAGCAAACTGCTAAGAAGATTATTTTTCACAAGAGTAATGATGGCGCAAGAAGACTTAGACATTTGCATGATGAGAAGACTTAAAAGTATAAAGCAAAGAAAAGAATAAATACCAATAAAAAAATCTCATACTATCATTTTCTTTATGGGTCCAAAATTAGAATATCAATTTTTTTATAAAGTATAATTTTGTGATAGGTGATTCTAAGTACACCATTTTTTTTCTCTACATACACTTTTTTTTTTAATTTTTTAAGTAAAATCACTTATTTATCCATCTCATTTTAATTTTAAAGCTTCTAGATATACATTTTTTATAAGTTATATAACTTACCGAATTTTCATATTCGATATGTTAAAAAAGTTACAATTAGGTTTGAAAAAGAAAAGAGTTAAGAGAAAATATCTTACGTATAAAAAGTATGAGAACCTAATACCATTTATAAAATTTAAATCATGTATTAATCATACGTGAAGAAATTGTTTTATATATATATATATAAGTTATCTTGTATATATAAAATTTGTGAAATTAGAAGATTGTTTTTTTTTTTTTTTTTGGCTTGTGAGGTTGTCAAGATTTGAATTTTAAACTACTAAAACTAAGAGTTTAGCATTTTACTAACATACTGCATGGTTATTGGTTCATTGAATTTCTAAATCATAGGATCTTTAAAGATATATTAACAATAAAAACAAAAAGAAAAATAAAAAAAAGGAGCACACCATGGATCTAATAGTATATTAGGAACAACAACATGAGAAACAAGTTGCTTAATCAACAAATTGATTGGCAAAAAAAAAATCAACAAAATAAAAACCTGTGTTTTATTTTTGTTGAAAGTTTTGAAAAAAAAAAAATCTAAAGAACATATTCATTCTCACTTCTCAAACTTATCTATTTTGGAAATTAGGATTTTATAATGGTGGAATAAGAAAGAAAATAATAGATACTATAGGAATGTATTGGTCTAAGTCTTAGTCTTTGCTTTATACTTAGTCTTGGCATTAAGCATGCAAATGTTAGTCTTTTTGCCCCCATTTTTACTTCACAAAAATAATAATTTTAGCAGTTGCTTCAGTCTAAGTCATTAGAAAGACTAAAGTATAATAATAATAATAATAATAATAATAATAATAATAAATATACTTAAGATCCATTCTCAATATGCCAATTTAACTAGAAAAGAAAAGAAAACCTCCATCGAGAAAATTGTTATTTTTTTTGTCTTTTTACAAAAATAGACTTAACTTAAGCAAATTGTTAAAAATTGTTTTTTTTTTTTTTTCATAGAGTAATAATGATGGGATAAGAAGACTTAGACATTTGCAAGATGGGAAGACTTAAAAATGTGAAACAAATAAAAGATAAATACCAATAAAAAAACTCATACTATTATTTTCTTTCTGAGTCCAAAATTAAAATATCAATTTTTTTCATAAAGTATAATTTTGTGATGGGTGATTCTAAGTGCACCATCATTTTTTCTTTAGATCCACTTTTTTTTTTACTTTTTAAGTGAAATTACTTGTTTATCCATCTTGTTTTAATTTTATAACTTACTAGATTTTAATATCCAAAAAGTTAAAAAAAAAGTTACATTTAGGTTCTAAAAAAAAAATAGTTAAGAAAAAATATCTTATAGAAAATTTTAAGCTTCTAGATATGCAAATCCGGAAACTTTTAAAAGCTTTTGGATATACAAATCTAGAGGCTTTTAAGAGCTTCTAGATTTACAACTATGAAAACTCTTAAAAGTTTTTGAATTTTGTAAATCCAAAAGCTTAAAAGTAGAAGAAGTGTGAAGAGAAAAGAGAAAGAGTAATTAAATAATTTCATTTAAAATAATTTTGAAATACAAAGGGTGTGGAGAGACAAAATGGGAATGTATTTAGAAATTTCTTTTGTGATTCACATATAGCATATAATATTTATAAATTAACAACATATCAAATATATATATATATTTTTGAAAACAGAATGTGATGAAAGTTTGAAAAATAATCATATTTTATATTTATGTCCATTAATCACTTAATCCCATTAATATGTAGAGTATGTTTTAAAAACTTTTATTTGATTTATATATATTATTTATAATTAATTTTAAAAATTATAAAAACTATTTATAATATTTACGATATGATATGACACTCGATATTAGATTCTCACATTACAATACATATTTTACTTTAACAATTATGCTAAATTTTTTTTAAACTTTTACTTCGTGATTTATAACTATCCAAAGTTCGACATATATGTAACTCTTTTTAAGTTTATTCTTTCATTTATAATTTGATTTATAATAAAGTTTTATCATCATTTACTATAGAGAACTTATTAATGATTCTAATGGTAATGTCTAAATATAGTATTCCCACAGTCTCTTGTTTTTTTTTTTTGTTTTAGATATCTCAAAATTATATCATCTTTCTTTATTGGAATAACTCAAACTCTTACTTTTTTATATTTTAAAATTATTTTTTATGATTTTTTTTTAACTTTTTGACATTAAAAATCATGAAACTTTAATCTTATAAAAAAATTAAATTTTAATCTTAAAAATATTAAAATCAAAGTTTTTTTCTTAAACTCTGTAAAAATTAATAACACAAAAAAAAAAAGCTCACATGCATAAATACTAATGCATATGCCTGCAGCAACAATGATATTTAAGACTCGTTCAATTGAGCATTATATCTACCTTAGTTTTTACAATTAGAACATATTTCATTTATTAAATGCTCGAGTTATATGAGGTAGTAAAAATTTAATTTAATTTGGAAGTGGTAAGGTCGTCGGATCATTGGAAATGTCAAAATAAATGTGCGGATTGTCAAGTGGTAGTTATTTAGTTTTTTTTTTTTTGTTAATTTTCTTTACATAGAAAATATTTTGTTTATTATGATTAAACATTGTGTCCATACAAATGAAAATAAACGGCAAGCAAACAAGACTTTAAGGAAGAAAATTTTCAATAATCCATTTCTGAAAGATTTGCGTGATTATATATCAAGATAAGCTTTCAAGTAATAAACAACATATATTATATATTAAAAATTATAAAAAAAATAAAACATGTGATAATATATTAGCACCATTTATAAAACTTTAAAACTCTACTAATAATATATATAAATATATATAAATATCTATAAATTATGTGAAATTTATGAAGTTGGAGGATTGTTATATATTCCGATATGTTAAAAAACAAAAAGTTCATATAATTAAAAAATACAATTGCCATTAAATCTAATAGTATATTACAAATAAAAGCAAGAGAAACAAGTTGCCTAATCAACAAATTGAAAAACATGTTTTACTTTTGTTGAAAATTTTGAGAAAAAAAATTTGAAGAACACATATTTTTCTCTGATGTTTCAATTGATTCAAGGACTTTGGAAAAAAAAAAAGATAATTTTCAAATCCTAAAGTTTATCTTTCATCCTCTTATTTTCAAATAATCAAAAATTTAGATCCTATTATTTTTGAATAATTAAAAATTTAAGTATCTGATTGAATACTACCATCAACATCTTGACTCTTTCATTGTGCTTTCTCAATTCTTATAGATAAGATTCCATCAAGCAATTAATTGCTAATTATTTAAGATGATTAATTATAATATAGATTTCATTTGGTTTGGATTTTTTTCCTTTACTATTTATTTTTTGCTTTCAATTCATTTATTAAAAAAAATAAAAACCCTAACTGAAAAATATAATTTAGATTTCGTTTGGTTTGTATTTTTTTTCTTTTACTATTTTTTAAAATTTCAATTCATTTATTGAAAAATATAAAAACCAAAGGCATCCATTAATCTCTGACTTGACATCAATAGACCAGGGAACTGAATACATGGAAACTCAGTTTCAGCACTTGCACTCTGTTGGCTGGATGTTTCCTCCTTGCTTTCATCTTTTGCCCTCGTTTCATTTCATTCATACTTTTGCTCTAGATTTTCAGGTTAGGTAGGCAATGTTCTTAATTACAACATATGTGCTGCCATATTACAAGATGTTAGGTGGGATTGCAACAAATTAAAAATGCACCAAACGATCATATCCCTTTTTCTTTTAATGCTTATTTGGATAAAAAAATTTGATATATATGAGGAAGTTGATCGAGGATACCAAAAGGAGGTTCAAGCTTTCCCATTAAGAAGAAGAAACAACTTAGAATTTTCAAAAAAAGAATTTCGTATAATTTCATAATCAGTGGTGAAATCAAAAATTTTTTCAAAAATATTCATTTAAAATATATAAAAATTAAATATAAAAATTAAAATAATATATTATTCATATTACATGATTTTATTTTATTGAAAATTGTCTACTCATAAAAAAAAAAAAAAGCAGTCAGCATTTTTTAAAACTTTGATTTTTTTTTCTTGCAAATCTGTCATTGTGTTGCCAAAAACATTGGAGGTTCAATCGTTTTTGAGTTTACTGTGTTTATTATATAATTGTATTTATTAATTTCATGGATGAAAAAAATTAAAAAATTAGAGATGTTGAAAAATTCTCTTTCGAAATTTCTTCTCCTTCCATGTTTGGAGGTGTTCATGACAACTCACCCATAGCCTTGCATCTTCCTTTGTCCTTAATAATAGAATTGATTTGATTGATAAATCTTTGTAAGATTACTCTTTCAGACAAGTTGATAGATGAGCAAAGCTTAGTGAAAATTTTCATTCTTTTGAGAAAATTAATTTTTTATTTAATTGTTATTTGTACGAATGCATAATATGAAATAAAAAGTGGAAGAAAAGAAAAGATATAGTGATAAAGATTAATTTACAAAAGCAAAACTATAAGCCTTATCACCATTGACCCATTATTCATTCCTTAAAATTCAAAATGGACAAGCAATAAATATGTCTGTCTTCCACCTATTTTGATTCAACTCTTATAGAAATAGCTCAAACTCATGATTTGTACAAACACGTGGTTGGAAAAACGCATTTGAACTTATCTCTTGAGATCAAGGGAGATATGTAGCTACAATAACAGTACCTAATATGAAGTACTTGTCTATAAATAACGTGTAAGCAAATCTCAAACTCCATAGTTTTCCCTTCATTTTTTCTTTATAGAGAGCCAACAAAAAATGAAGAATCTTCATATCCTAATTTCACTCATTTTTCCTACCTTGTTTCTCTTCTCATGCTCTATATCTCTTGTGTTATCTTTTTCCCCTCCTGATCTCCAAAACCAATGCCTTCATCACCAGAAATCTGCTCTGCTACAATTGCACCATGATCTTTACTATGCCCCAAATTTTACTTTCTCTTCCAAAGTTGAGCTTTGGGATCCCAACACTGACTGTTGCTCTTGGAAAGGAATTACATGTGATGCTTTGGGTCATGTGATTGAACTTGATCTCAGTTACAAAAACTTTTCAGGCAGCTTTCACTCCATTTTCAATCTCCATCATCTTCAACGCCTTAATCTTGCTGGAAACAATTTTAATACTACTCTGTTTCAATATGAGTTTGATAGATTCCCAAATTTAACTCATCTCGACCTTTCAAACTCATGTTTCCATGGCCAAATTCCAGTGGAGATTTCATACTTAATAAGGTTAGTTTCTCTTGATCTATCTAATCAAGATTCTTGCTATCTACGGTATAATCAAATTCTTGATCCAAATTTCTGGTACGATGATCTTCCTGACAACCTTCAACAACCTCTGAAACTAGAAAACCCAAACTTCAAGTCATTAATCCAAAATTTGAGACCTCTTACAGACCTCTATTTGGATAGTGTGAACATTTCAACTCAAAGTAGTGAATGCTGTGAGACCACATCCATAATACTTCCTAACTTGCATGTGTTAAGTCTGTCGAATTGTGGGTTGACAGGTCCATTTTGTTCTTCACTCTCAAGACTTCCTTTTCTTTCCAAACTTTTCCTTGGTAGGAACCCGATCTCTTATTTACCTCCCAATTTGTTGGAAATTTCCTCTCGTTTGATTTCTCTCAGTTTAGTGAATTGCAATTTGAGTGGGCATTTTCCAACAGAAATTCTCAAGTTGCCAAAAATAGAAAGCATTGACATTTCAAATAATTACGCTCTTGGAGGTCAGTTGCCAGAATTTCCATCAAACAATGCTTTACGGATCTTAACGATTTCTGATACAAATTTCAGTGGAAAACTACCAGAATCAATTGGTAATCTCAAGTTCTTGACAAATTTAAATCTTTTTTATGGCAATTTCTTTGGACAAATTCCATCATCAATTGCAAATCTCACAAACCTTGTGGAACTGAATTTAGGAGATAATAATTTCAGTGGTTTAATCCCTCCATTTCATAGATCTGGAGTTCCAAATCTTGGATATCTTTGTTTGTGGGGGAACCACCTCTCTGGATCAATACATTCTTCGTTATTTACTCTCCCATCATTGCATACATTGCTTCTTGAAGTAAATCAATTGGTTGGTGAAATTCGTGAGATCCCCATTGCGTCTTCTTCATTGATTGAAGTATTGTATTTAGGCTTCAATAGCTTTAGTTGCGTAAAGCTCGACGTATTCTTCCAACTCAAGAACTTAAGTTGTCTTCAACTTTCCAATATAAATTTATCAATTGAAGGCAACATCACAAGCCTTGCTTTTCCCCAATTAGAGATGCTGTATCTACACTCATGCAACCTTACTGAATTTCCAGAATTCATCAAAACACAAGACAAGTTGGCTTTTCTATATCTTCCTGACAACCAAATCCATGGTTTTGTGCCTAATTGGTTGTGCAAGACCACTCTTTTGAGTTTAGACCTTTCTTTCAATACGATTGATTTTCCAACAGATGTTCCTTTTGGTGATGCAAACTCCTCTTTTCCAATGTTGAGTTACTTGCGTTTACGATTCTGTAACCTAAGTATGTTTCCAGAGTTTTTAAAGAGTCAAACTAGTTTAAAAGATCTTGACCTTTCAAATGACAAAATAAGTGGTGCAGTACCAAACTGGGTGTGGAAGAAAAGTTTGTGGTATCTGGATCTTTCTAACAATTCTCTCTCATCTTTGGACCAATTTTCGCTCAACCAATCTCTAACTTCTTCACAAGGCTCTTTATCAAGACCTATTTGCAATTTGAGGCAACTTGAGACCTTTAATGCATCCTTTAACAAATTAAGTGGGCCAATCCCAAGTTGCTTGGGCAATATCAGTTCTCTCAGATCTTTGGATCTACAGAAAAATAATTTCAGCGGCAACATACCGGATTTTGCGAAAGCAACCCAATTATATTGGCTTCAACTCAATGACAATAAATTGAAAGGAAAGTTGCCAAGATCATTGGCCAATTGCACAATGCTCGAAGTTTTAAACCTTGGAAACAATACTTTGTATGATACATTCCCTTCGTGGTTGGGAAAATTGCCTTGGTTGGTGGTTCTTATATTGAGAGCAAATAGGTTTTACGGTCCAATTAAACATGTGAAAAATTATTTTCAAGACTTGGATGTGTTAGACGTTGCTTTTAATAATTTTTCTGGGCAATTACCAATTGAATTCTTTCAAACCACTGAACTAAGGTCACTCATAATCAGTGAGAATAAGTTGGAAGGGAAGTTGCCGAGGTCATTAGCCAATTGCAGAAATCTTGAAGTTTTGGACCTTGGAAAAAATATGATACAGGACACATTTCCTTTTTGGTTGGTGAAATTGCCTTTTTTGAAAGTTCTTGTACTAAGAGCAAATAGATTTTATGGTCCAATTAAAATTTTTGGGGATGAAGATACTTTGCCAGAGTTACACATACTAGACCTTGCTTCCAATAACTTTTCAGGTGAGTTATCCGTTGGATTTTTTCAATCTTTGAAGGCAATGAGAATGATGACTGATGGCAACAGAGCTAAGCCAGATTATATTGGAGATGATTACTACCAGACTCTGTAACAATTGTGAATAAAGGGTTTGTAATTTTTTACGAGAAAATCTTAACCATCCTTATCTTGTCTTGACCTTTCCATAATAGTTTCCAAGGGAGAAATACCATGACGAAATACAAACCTCCCAAGTCAGCTCAAAGTGCCTAAACTTATCTTCAACAGCTCCTTGGCCCAATTCCTTTAGCACTTGAAAACGTTAACTGAGGCTTGAGTCGTTGGATCCTCTCCCAAAAACAAACTCTCTGGAAGGATTCCTCTACAGCTTACAAGCCATAACATTTCTTGAAAGTATTGAATGCTCTCTTACAAACCAACTTGAGGGAAGCATACCACAAAGGCTACATTCGGTACATTTTCAAACGATTCTTAACAAAGGGAATCCAAGATTATGTGGGCTGCCTCTGACAAGGAAATGCAATCAAGATGGTCCTGGAATGCCAACCCCTAAGGAAGATGCAGATTCATGGGTAGATGGTTTATCTGACAGGAAAATTGTGTTGATAGGGTATGGATGTGGATTGGTCATTGGATTATGTACTGGATATACAGTGCTGAATGAGTTGGGGAACAAATGGTTGGAAAGGTTTACACGGAATTGGAATCGAAAATGGAGAAGATCAAGGTGACTCAATCAAAATTCAAGTTTCAATGTCATTTGGTAAGCATTCTAGAATACTTAATAACTCAAAAGTTTTGTTACTGATTCTGTGAACTGTAGCCTAAAAAAATAAAATTATTTAAATGCTCTCTTATATTGTCATTTATCTGCACTAACTAACTAATAACTTACTAAAGTGATTGCATTCAAAATTTAATTCAAGAACATTTCAACTTTATGTCTCGTTCCCTTTTTGAAACTTGGTAAAAAAAATTGCCTGCAAACTAGGAAGTCCTTTGAATTTCCTAACCTCATTTTACAAATGAAAATTAATTTTCAAGTTAGTAATTTGTACAAGACCTGTGGGTGACTGGTATTTAGAGTTAGATTGGGGCTGTCGGCCATTTTAAGAGCAAAGTTTTGGCATTTATTTTCCTTAGATTGACTTGGAATGCTCATATATATTTTATTTGGCAGGAGCACAATCAAAGGAAGTTTGGCAGGCCATCTAGATATATAGATGCTATTGTTTCAGCTATCAAAAGTTCCTTTTGGCTTCGATTCAATAACAGGATTGCAGTCTCCAGTTCACTCTTCCTTTTTCAACAACAGAAATTGTGCCTGAATGTTTTTGGCCTGGTGTTATGGTATTTGTGTCTCAGTTCTTTCTCTTATGCTCGAGGATGATTGAAGGTAATGTCTGGTTGTATTGTGCTTCTCTTCTGTTCTATCTATAGGTTGGTGTTCTACTGCTGAGTTATGGGGTTCCCCTGTTGTGTAACTCTGTTTTTATTAACTAATTTCTGGCTTAGCAAAAAAGAATGTGTCTGAATTGGGGACTGGTTCCTCTATGTTGCTTAGTTTAATTAGTTTACTTTATTAGGTTGCTCTTTGACGTTTGTAAGGTCTTGATAGCCTACTGTTTATTTGTAGCAGGTCTACTGCTTTTTTTGGATTAATAAAAATCATTTATCCAAAAAATTTTCTTAAGGAAAATCTTATTATTTTTTAAGCTCTTCAGTATTATTATATCTAAGTGGTCATGTCAGCAATCACATAATAGGTTTTACACATGAAAGCCCAGTTTGCCACATTATTACCCAAGAGGTATAAAAGTAAATCAGACGAGTTAGGTGATTGACTACTCAACCCTCTTTACTCTCTTTAACTACTTCCTGCTCTTTTACATTTTCTTGCTTCTGGTGTATCTTACTATCTTATCTTGTGCGTCGGAGCATGCCTCAAAATAACATGTTCGGCACCCCTGACTTTCTATTCTGTGACAGGTCACACATACTCTCCTCTCAACCTCCAGTAGGACTTTCCGACTACCAGACCAGGAATTACATTAACAACCAAGAATTACATTAACGAAATCAATGATTCAACTCAACTATTTGCATTGCAGGAATCTGATACAAGCCATGGCATGTACAAAAATGACTATGCCTACTACTTTAACTGCCAAAACTAGAAGTTTCATCTGCTAACACAGAAAAATCTTTACAGACCAAGCTCAAGCTAAGATGCTTTATTCCTGTATTAGCTACTACATCACTACAGAGAAAGAAGAAAAAAGAACAAAGCTTCCAGTTCCAGGTATAAAGCTCGACAATTCCAAAGGATATTATTTCATTGCCCCTAATAACTATAGATTTGACTATGGCGAGAGAGATTTAAATATTTCCTTTATTATTTTCTTAACTTTAATCCCGTATCATCCTTTGTTTTTCTGCTTCTGGACTCCCACACAGACAAAAACAAATGGCTTTTTGTAAGCTCTATTGCTATTGCTATTGCTATCCGATTGATATCCATATAGAATAGACCTTCACTAAACAAAAACATGTGGGCAATACAAAGAAACTTTTAACAACTTGAAAGTTATGTGAATGCCATTCTTAATTATTAATGTGGACTTGATTAATATGATTTAATTTTATCTTTAGAAAAAGGTTAGTGGTAAAATCTTTGTTTATGAAAAAGAGCATCCAGTAATTTTCTTATGATTTTTCCCTTTACTCTCAATCACTTATTCCTGGTCAACATTGAGTTTACTGCATACAAAACTTGATTGTTTCTAACAAAATGGAGTAACTTCATCGTTTGAATTGTCAGGCCAATGATTTGAGAAGATACTAGGAAAAGGAAAGCATGGGTTGCCAAATACAGTTCCAGAAAGGATATGACTTCCTGACTAAAGCTTGTTCTGCTTATCTGTTTCTTACAAAACTGATGTTCGGCTAAACATTTTTGTCCAGTCAGAGCAAAAATGACAGCTGTGTTGAAAAGTGAAAACCCATCCAAGGTGGGACATGGAAATTTGTATTGGGTAACAGAGGAGATCACTAGTTTGAACAGAGATTGTATCAGGCACCAAAGCAGCCCTTTCGACCAGCAGATCAGGATAATCAATGACTCAACACACTTTGCAGTGCAAGAAGATATACCAGCCATGGCATGTACAACAATGACTAGGCGTAACCACGTTAATTGCCAAACAAGAAGTTAATTGCATCTACTAACACAGAATAATTGTCGACAACAGACCAAGATCAAGCTAAGATGCTACATCACCATAAAAACACTGAAAAGGAATAGAAGAAAGCTTCTGGTTTCCAGGTCTCAAGCTCGACAATTCCAAACTAACTTTGATGGTGTTTTAATTTCCCTAACAACTATAGAGGGTAAAAAGGGAAACTAAAGGTCATACTAAGAATATGATGAGTATACATCAGCTGTTAAGAGCCAAAGATTACAATATCTTGAATTTAAGTTTAGGTTTGGTAGCTGATTTCATAATTTTTTTTGTCTTAAATGCAGGAAACTGTTTTTTCAAGGAAGAAACTGTTCATTAAAGCTTTCTATGCTTTGGACTTGGACAGCACAAAAATCACAGGTTCTATTAGCTGTCCCTACCCAACTGAAACTATCAGCAATCCTACAGCCTTAAACTCTGTGAAGTAACATCCTTCCTAGATCATGACCCTACCAGAATGTGTCATCTAGACATGGATTTTGATATGATCAAGATGAATTCTCGGCCATTGTGAAGGTTGTGAAGTTGGAATGCTGATTCTTGGAAAGTTGATTACTGCATTGCACTGCTATCTCGAGGTAGAAATGTTACGTCATGGGCAAAAGGCAGCAGTGGCAGCAGACACAGAAACAATACTTACCTAAATACTTGGTAAAAAAACACCAATTCCAGCAGCAACAATGATTTTAAAGAGCTCATCACTGCATAATCCAAAATTCCCCCCAAGATCTAGCTCGGAATACATTTTGTTCAATAAGGTATGCAGACAAGTAAATCTTTCCACTAAAATGGCAAAACAAAGAAATAAAAATATTAATGGCAGCAGGAGTTGAAAAAAAGCATCAATGGACTTATCGTTACCCTCTTCAGCCATCTTTCTACGTATCTCATGAGCAGTATTGAAAATGCCAAGGGTGGGTTGGTTGCACATAAAGCACTTGTTTGTTCTTTGTGTGATGCTGAAAAAACCAAAAGATGCAGTTGGTTAGTTTACATTCGAATGAGAATAAAAATGTAAATTATACTGACATGAGGCACCAAAAGTTGATGATGTAAAGTTAAAATATGTCCTATTTCTATAGCTGAAAAAAGTTGGACCACATAAAATATTCTTTGTATGTAAGTAACCAAAAAAGTTTTGCATCTAAGTGATGCATTAACAACAAACATAACAAAAACTAATAGATGTTAACCTAGCACAAAAAAGACACTAAAAAAAATTAATCCACGTGAAAAGGCATTGAGGGCACCTTTAAAGCACAATGCTGGCAGAAGTAGTACTTGCACTTCCACAAAAGGTTGCCAGCAACTAAAACATGCAGAGGGCAACGAATCATCATCGTCATCATCACTCTGGTCTACCCCTGCCTCATCATCATCATCATCGCCACCCAAAGCCAGATTTCTCTTCCTTGCTTTCTCTGCTTCTTCCCGGTCCTTCTCTAACTGCCATCCAGACTTGTAATCTCCACGATCATGCATAAACTTACATGAATCTCCGTAACCACAGTAACCAGTTTCTTTGTAGTCTTTACCGATGTCAGGCTGATAATCAAATGCTGAAGATGTGGGCAAAAGCCCTATCCATGCCACCTGCTTTCTCACTGGCAACTGTTTGCTCTCTTCGAAACCCAGCCTTATGATCCACATAGCCATGCATTCCTTTATACAACTTCTCTCCCCCAGCTTGTGTTTTTCCCCTTCAAAGCCTCCAAAAACTTCCTCGCGTATCGCGCGAGCATCTTTTGTAAACTCAGTCTCAGTTTCTAAGGTTGCCATAGCTCTGCTATCATTTTGAACTTGAATTTCCTTCGAAGACTCAAATTGAAAATCGGTTTGTCAGATTCTGTATTTGATTCAGTGGGAGTAGCACTCCTGGAGGATCCAGTTGAAAAGAGTCAGGCTTCAAAGCGTTTTTCTGATTGTGAAACAAAGATGTGCCATTTCTGGAGTCTTCATCTTCATCTTCATATTCATTTATTGTCCTTTTCCTTATGGTTTTTTGCCCTTTGTTGGCTTCCTAAAGAAATTGCAGACTGAAAAGTCAAAGAGTTAGCCATATAAGTAAATATACATATACACCTTTAAAAAGAATTAAAAAAAAGGAACAAATTTTACCTTGCTCAGATTGTTGAGGTTCTGTTTCAGATTGCTGAGGTTCTTTTCCTGGCTACTGGGGCTCGCTTGAATCAGTCATCTTAACAGAAACAAGAGAAAAGGTTTATAGATTCCTTGCCTCAAGCAAGATGAACTTCAATTCTCATTCACGACTGTTGCTCCAATCACTTGAAAGAAGGTTTTAAACTAAGTGAGTGAAAATCCTTATTACTATTAATTAAGGTAATGAAACAAACGTGATCAACACACTAACTGGTGTCATAATTAAATTTCCATAGACAAGATCAAGCATTCTCTCATGAAAGGCTAAATGCTCAATTTGTTTACCCAAATCATAAATTTCTATTGATGTAAGAAAAAGAAGGAATTAAATTTTTTATCCAAATAACAAAATATTTACAGTACTCACCTGAACAAGAAGTCTAAAACGCCCAATACATTTAACTTTTACCCACGATTGACTAATCCGAATTGAAATTACCCAACAAGAAGAGATCGTCCTTCGTCAATTAATTCCTTTCGATCATCGGATTTGGGATTTTTTGAAATCAGAATTGGAATTGGATAGGAATCGACTGAAGGATTGAAGAATTGGGTATGAATCGACTGAAGGATTAAAGAACGAAGGAGTAAAGGAGGAACCCAAAACGCCAAATTCTTTTATCAGGCTTTCGGATTCTTTTTCGGCCTTCTTACTTGTTTTGAAAATCAGTCAATTTTTTGTCCAAATTGCACACGCGAATAATTCCTTCCCATGTTGGCAATGCCCGTCGGAATAATCTTTTGCACCAATTGGACTTTTGTGTTGGTTGTCCTTTCAAACTAGCTTTGACGAAAACGCAAAAAAATTGCTTCCTCTAAACTGCTAAATTTCTCCAAT